CTTGCATTGGATCTAGTATCTTCACGTAATGTCGAAGAAATGGTCATGTATTTGAAGAAGGTTACTTTTCTGAATCTAATATTATTCTGGTCATGATTGCTACACAGCATTATGTATCAACGTTCTTTGGTCTGATATATATATATATATAATTTTTAGACGAAGTTGTCAAATTATCACTACCTGTCTCATTCCATTATTTTTTTTATCTTATAAATTATAGAAAAATTATCATCTCACTCATGTAATTTTAGTGGTGCTTTTTTATTTGCGTACCTCAGCTTCCTTTAATTTGCTTTTCTTGTTTATATTAACCAGTAATATGTTGTCTGTATTTCTGATAAATATTGATTCTAGGAAGTTAGTCGTTCTTCGGATGGAACAGCGGAAGAGGCAGAACGATATCGACAAATGCTTGTGCGAACGTTGCATTCCACTACAGTCAAATTTCCAGATGTCGCAGCAAATATTTTACCAGTTTTGATGGAATTTCTTTCCGAAGATAGCGAAAATGCTGCGCAAGACGTTTTGGTGTTTGTGAGAGAAACTGTTCAACGATTACCACATTTGCGCCCAGTTGTTTTAGCACAGCTTTTGGTAGTTTACCATTTCATGATAACATGCTAAACTTTACATTCGGGAACTTTTTGAACAGAACATCTCTTATTTTAGGATGTATTTGGAAATGTACAAAGTGCGCAAGTTTTTCGGTCGGGATTATGGATTTTGGGTGAATATTGCGAATCAGCTGAGTCAGTAATGAAAGTAATGCAGTTTATTCGAAAGTCATTTGGTGAATTACCTATTGTGGAAAAGGAAATGCAGAAAGCCAGTGGTGAGGAAATCACAGATGGAAAGAACGAAAATTCAACAGCTGATGTGACCTCAAAGGTAACTGAAATACTTTCCTTTAATATGTAACTCTGCTTTACTAAATAAATTCATACATAGTGTAATTAGTTCTTTTTGTGATGCAGACTCGACAACTTGTAACTGCCGATGGCACTTATGCTACCCAGTCAGCACTTTCGGCCGTAAAGACGGAAATAACGGAAAATAAAGCCTTGTTACGTCGTTTTCTTCTTAATGGGAACTTTTTCTTGGCTTCATCGCTTGCAACTACTCTAATCAAACTAGTCTTTAATTACAGCAAATTTATGCAAGGTTTGTTTCTCAATTTTTTCATTTGTCTTTAGAGATAAAGCTTTTATTCTCATACTGCAAAAAAGCAGAATGAAATTGAAAGAAATATTAATATTTGATTTATAGAAAATCATGAAATTTAATTTCTCAACGAATTTTTAGATAAAACTGACAAAATTAATTCATTCGCGGGAGAAGCACTATTCATGATTGCATCAATTATCAGTCTTGGGAAGAGTGGTCTTGCGAAGACAAATGCAACTGAAGATGATCTTGATCAGTAAGCTAAACATTCTTTTTAAATAGTTGTTTCTTTTCTTTTTTCTAAGTGTAGTTTTCTATAATTGTTGTGCTATTTCTATGATTTATTGCAAACGTTGTTACATAATTCGTTCATATATGTATATGTATTCATATTTTTCCAACACCGAAATCAAGTCTTGCAGTCTGGGTATGTCGATCAAAGTTTTATGCGAAAAATGGCCTAATGCAGAAGCTGTTTTTCTTCAAAAATGTCGCGACAGTCTTGAATTAATGTTGGAATCAAAATCAAAAAATGAACGTTTTGAAAGTGAAACAACAAAAAGGTTTGTGCTTCGTGTTAGTCACGGAATTTTTCATGCGAATGTAAAACGCTCAACAAGTATCAACTTCTTTTAGTTATTTTCACTAGAGCTTTACAAAAATAGCTATCTCCTTGTTCGGAAAATTTGAACTAAAAAAAAAAAAATTGAAATAATCTAAAGCTGCATTGCTATAATAGTTTGCTATTTGTAGAGCTATCCAAGTGGAGGTAGATCGTACAATTTCGTTTACGCAACTGGCTCCACGTGTTGGTGACGGAGTGACCGGAACCGAAAATTTATTCGATCTTTCATTATCGCAAGCACTGGGAACTGTTGCAAAATCTCCCAAATTCGATTTTGCTTCCTCTAAGTTAGGCAAGGTGAATAAATTAATGGAATTTATCTCACAGTTTACGAGCTGTTATGCTCCTGTTTCCATGAAGCTTTTATTTTATAAGATATATTTCTTCGTAAAACTTGATAAAAATCTGAAGGATATCTTATAGATCTTGATGCAAATTTGGGAAATATTTTTGAAGGGTGTTTAGGTGTTTAGTTTGTTCTCAGTTATCTTCAAATGGACTACAGCATATTACCTCTTAATTATTTATCTATTTCATACTTCGTTTCAGGTTAAGCAACTTGCTGGTTTTTCGGATCCTGTTTATGCTGAAGCATATATCAACGTAAATCAGTACGACATCGTTCTTGATGTGCTTATTGTTAATCAAACAAATGATACTCTTCAAAATGTTTGCCTAGAACTATCAACAGTTGGTGATATCAAGCTGCTCGATAAGCCAACACCTCTTACACTAGCACCGCGTGATTTCTCCAACATTAAGGTAGTTTTTTTTTTTTTTTTGTTCCAAAATACTGCCTACTTTACTGCTTACGGTTCGTAATTTGTTATTTTATAAATAAGCACTGGTTTAGTGAACACTGATATCTTTATCGACTATGTGATGACTACTCAATTTTGAGATTCTGCAGTCGATCACTTCAGGTTTTTGAACTGTTGAAAACTTTTACTTCTTTATTACAATGTCGTTTTGTATTCTGTTTTTTTAAATAAATTCTGTTATTACTGAGTTCATTTTAGGCTACCGTGAAAGTTGCTTCTACGGAAAATGGTGTGATTTTCTCGACTATAGCCTATGATGTTCGTGGGTCAACATCTGATCGAAACTGCGTTTATCTGGAAGATATACATATTGATATCATGGATTATATTGTACCAGGCAATTGTACGGACACTGAATTTCGACATATGTGGGCCGAGTTTGAATGGGAAAATAAAGTTTGAACGCATTTTTTCTTTTTTTTTATGCTAGTAGCACAAATCCTATAATTATGAGACTTTTTCTGCTTTAGCAAATTTGTATCTGATTTTTGGTTTTTGTTTTTTTAGGTCAACGTGAATACACCAATCACCGATTTACGTACATTCTTAACACATCTGTCTACTGTTACAAATATGAAACTGTTGACCACTGATGCCGCATTAGGTATTTTTTAAATTTGGCCATTATTTTACGTTTTTTTTCTCTTTTTTTTTAGTGGTAATTCTATAATGGCTTTGTGATTTTTTCTGAATTCTGGGATTTTTAATGAATATAAGCATGACTGTGAGCAAAACACAAATCTGATAACATCATGTGAATTTCAGAAGGTGAATGTGGCTTTTTGGCTGCTAATTTTTGTGCACATAGTATCTTCGGAGAAGACGCATTGGCCAATGTTTCTATAGAAAAAACCAGTCCCCTTGATCCAGATAGTCCGATCATAGGGCATATACGAATTCGTGCCAAAAGTCAGGGAATGGCGTTATCACTTGGTGATAAGGTTTGCATTACTTTTCTCCGTTTCATTGTTCCAAATTTTGACAATTTTGGTAGTCAGAGTTAATTATCAGTAATTCCAGATAAACTTCGCTCAGAAAGAGAGGAAATTAACGCTATTAAAAGCAGAAGTAGTGCCGAATTGAAATTTCAATTATGTTTGTATCCTGTGATAATTATTGTTTTTGAATGCTCCTTATCTCTTTCATTTTATCGAAAAATTTCTATCATTCTATCCGCAATACTGAACCGTTTCTCTCCTCTTATTATCCGTCTCCCTTCAGTTCTACCAAAATTACTTTTACAATGCCCACAGCAACTTCTATCAATAAGTGGAATGCATCGTTTGCGTAAGTGATACATTCAATTAGTTATTTCTCTATATATAGCTGATCCAGCTCTTTTGAAACCTTATTAACTTATAAATAATAATAAGATTGATTTCACTTTAGTATTGTGATGTAAACGTCGAATATTAATAAGGATATAATAATAGAAAAATGTGTTATAGCAGTAAATATAATCACAAACACATGGTATACGTACACATAAAAGAAATAACACATTATGAAGAAAAAAAAAGAACTAGGAAAATCACCACGTGTGTTCATCACTAAAAACTATTATAGCTGCATTTGATTACTATTCTATTTCATTATAGAATTGTAATCAAATCATTGGGTTGCTGTCAGCTAGGGTACCCTGCTCTTGCTAATGTTCTTTTGTATTTTGTATTGTCATAATTTATTTTTGGTTCTATTCGTAACTTTAATTTAGATTTTATAATCTACAGAAATTTCCGTCTTGATTTGATTTAGTTGCCAATGTTATATATTGAAGGGAAAAATGAATATCTTTTTTAGAAATTTTCGTCACATCGAATATTTTAATAGACACTAAAAGTACAGAAGTCTTAGTATAGTTCACTATTTAAGTTGAAAATATTTTAGGATTTCTTCATGTTCCACTAAACATAGTTTAGTCAGATAAAGGGACAATTCCACATGGAACATTCTACTTTTCTCATGATTGCAGCAAGATATGTTTATGTTTTGAGGGGCAGAAACGAATTATGTTTGTTTGGGGTTTAGGATGTTAGTCTACGTTTTGAATAAATTTAAAAACTAATGTTTTTTTGAATTGAGGAAAACGAACATTTAAATTGAGATGGCACACACGCACAAACATAAACACAATGTGAACTACTACTTTAAATGCTTTGGATAGAGTGATTTGATGAAGGAGTTAAGTTTTGGAATTAATAAACGATAATAAATCATTCGCTTATGTGTAATTTAATGAGAATATAATAGGAACAATTACATAGTAATTGCTAAAGAAGTTGCTTTCTGAAGAACGAATGAGATTTTAATAGAAGTTTGGGGACACTGAAAAAAAACCAGATCAAATGTTTAGCATAATATAATTTGACTAATTGTAAGTCATCTTTTTATACGCGATAAGTACGTGAAATGTTTGTCAAAGTCGTGTCGTCCCATTCCAAACTTCTGTTCTGTCGTTCTAAAATGAAAACATATATTGATAAAGAAATAGAGGATCTCAAGATTGTGTTTTCTAGAAATTTTGGCCAGCGAAAAGTTAATCTTAAATATAATAGCTAAATTTTAAAGCAGTAATGTAGAGTATTTTCTCTTTTTTTTCTGCTGAATCGAAGAAATAAATGAAAATGGATAACATAAAATGAGAATGATATTCACTTTTGAGGTGTTACTGTTACTTTTGCACGACAAACATTTTAAGAAATATTTCATTCCATTTTTTTGCAAGCTTTCTTTAGAATTTTCTTTAATTAATTTGAAAGCTAGAAAAGAAATGGAAAAATGCAGCTCACCATTATCGACATGAGGAAGTACATGCCCAGCATCTTCATCTTCTGTCAGACCCTCATCATGAAAACTGAAATATTGTTGAATTGCTTATTTAAAATTAGAAATACCTGAAAAAGTCCAGACTCTTATGAATTTAGAAGATCAAAAAACGAATTTTAAATTGCAAGATTAATAATTAAAAAATTTGAGAATTTGAATGTCAAAAATATGAGTTTTTTCATAACTTTTTATTCATATGTATACTCAGAACACAAGAGTCTTAATAGAAATCTTCAAAGTTCAAATATAAATACTTAATATTTTTTATGAAATTACCTTTCTCCACCATCGGAGCTTTCTTCGTCAGAAAAATTAGCGCTATTTTTGTCAACTTCCTCCAATGGATTTACAGTTATATTCATACCACTATCGTCCCATTCCATTGCCCCTTCCTATAAAAAAAATAATTTCGAATAATAATAAGCATAAGAATCTACAAAAAATTTACATTAAACTAAAAGTTACAGTGCTTCGCCGATTTCGTCGTCGTCTGGAAGGAAGTGGAGTATCACGTATTTTAAGTACTCCAATCACTAGCATAACCAGAAGGAAACCAACGCATAAAACAACAACTACAGCAACTGCTCCTCCTGAAAATTCTATAACCATGTAGTCCAAATTAGCAAAAATTTTCCCAATCAAAAATAATGGAACATATGAAACTAATAATAATATACAACCTTTCAATCACAGAAATATCAACACAAATTTATTATATTTTTAGTAGCTTTAAAGATGCTGAAAGTAGATGCATATTACCAGATTAAATTGCAATAAAAACTTTATCTTTGTCATACAGGTGACTTTTAAATAAACCTTACTATATTTTACCTGCGATAGCACCTTGCACACCGTATCCATGATGTGACATCAATGCCTTCGGCCGTGGTAAATCCATTTCCAGTAAATTCTGCAGTCGATTTCCACCAATTCGATCAAATGCAGGATCCACTTGAATTTCTTCATCATCATCCAGAATTTCAGTAATTGGTGTCTCACTTGATTGCAGTGATGTGTTGATATTCATCTAAATTCAGCACTATTTTCTTTCTTTTTATTCTTGCAGGTATTTTTTCTATTTTAATGTATAAATATGTTTACATTGAATCGAAATAACGAATATCATAATTTTAAGAGCTAAGATTTAAAACTAGTTTGAATCAAATATTGCTCGTCTTTAAATAAACATGTTTACTTTGATTACATGATGGATCTTTCTTTGTCTGATAAATTTTGTCCATTTAATATTCTTAAAAAGTTATTACTACTAAATACAGACTCTGCTTTCTCTTGCTAACAGTCCTTATTTCTTCCTCATCAATGTTAATTTGCAATAATTTCTATATCTGTTTAGAAAAAAAAATAATAATTTTCTTGAGAAGATGAGAAAACAAGAAAGAAGAACTAATAAGAACAAACTGAAAATTATTCGTAAAGAGAAAGATAATAAATACAAAAAATACAAAGGCGAGTAAGGAATTATTATTTTCTTAAATTAAATAAAACTTATACGATTTGAACCATCTGCTAAAAATTTTCGTGAATAAATAAAAAAAAAAAAGGAAAATAAGTGAGAAGACAATTCAGATAGTTTTCTGTTAGTACAGAATCTCAGGTCTCAAAAAAAAAAAAAGTTTCGAGATTTAAAAAACAAACTTTTTTCTTCTATTTCTAATTCATTTACTTGTTTTTTTTTTTTATTTTACACTGTAGTATTAAGTAATTCCCTAAAAAAATATATGCATGGGCAAGTATATTGATGATAAAACTGAAGTAAGCAAGCAAAGAATATGTTTTGATAAATTAACCACTAAATGATAACCTCAGAAAATCCGTTTCTCAAATGTTCAGCAAAACCTAAAACATTGATCTTGATTTTACGATAAATTCTAAAAAATTTTATGATTTACTGTGATTAGAAATTAATTGTTAAGTCATCTAACTAAAATTTGCTAAAAGAAATTCTCAATTTCCATTTCTTTCATCTGCTCGAGATATCTGCACTTAATGCTTGATTCTTCAGCGATCCTAAACCATTCTAATAAGCTTACCGTGACAAGAAATTCATTGCTAAGAATATGACCACCACTCATTGCACATTGTACAGTATAAATTCTTCTTGAATATGAATCAGCTCGTGTATTAAAGTAATGAATTTTTGACAAAATCTCTCGATAACCTTTCACCTTTTCTCTACCTTTCAGTAAAATACCCTGAAAAATCCCAGCATGACCATTTTTCATGAATATATTTCCTAACTCTCTATTTCCAAAAAAAAAAAAAAAGGAAAATTTAAAGGAATAGAATCCTCTATAAAAATTAATTTAGTTCAATAATTTTGAAGATAACAGCAAGTCAATGAATGCATTAATCTATTTCATCAGTTTAGTTCAGTTCATATCATTCTCATCTGACTATTAAAAAACATTGCTTATGGACTGAAATGATGTCTGACTTGTTTATCATGTTCAAAATCAATTCGAAGAGCAGCGATTAACGAAGCTGGAGATGAGAAATATTCGAGATCCATATCTCGTGATGGCTTTAAATGAACTTTACACCAGTCAAGTTCTGATACGCTTGTCCGCTCAATTTCTTCTGAAAAAAAAACAAGAAAAAAAATTTCATTGTATAATAGTTTTTTCATTACTTCTTCACCATAACTTCACAGTGTGTCCCCAACTTCTCTCATCCATAATAGAACAAATCGAAATGAAATTTATGAAAAGGGAAAACGCTGTAAAGTTAATCCCTAATTGACGCAAAGCGTACAGCTCAAGAACGATTTAAGTTAACAAGAACATTACAATTAACTCAAGATTGATACTAATGTAAAATATTCAAGGAATGTCAAAGGCAAGTTCAGAAAATTTATAATAAAGTTGAAATTTACCTCCATTAATATTTTGAGTTACAGTTATTTTAATTTCGGGAAGCATTGGTGCACCTGTTTTTACGAGATGTTGATCACTATTCACAACTGATAATCCACTAATTGAAATTACAGGTTCAGCTTCATGCTGGACGAATATGGAGCCTTTACTGGGATTAAGGGTAAGCTGAAATGAAAGGTGAAAAATGTAAACAATTTCAAGAAACAAAAAAAAAAGCAATTGAAATTTTTTCAAATGCAATTATACTAATAAAAGATTAAACATTTTGATTCTTCAATTAAAAAGTACTTTCGCTAACAAACCGTTTTTCCATTGGAGCATAGGACAGTTGTATTGATAAAGAATGTACGATATCCAGGTGTTGGTAAATTTTTCGTATTTCCATATGTAACTCGTTGAAGTAACAGTGACAAATCTTCAGCAGTATTAGCTTTCAAAGAGAAAGATGATGAATCCGTAGCAAAAATTGCATTCTGTAAAAAAGAAATTTTGAAAACTATTTATTGATATATTTTTGATTTTTACTTCAAAATTGAGCTTCGGGTCTTTGATTTTTCATCTGCACAGATAAAATTTGATCAAGTTTAAATCTAAATACCGAAAATTTAATTGAAACACAAACCTCTCCTGGCACTAACTGATCAATGGCATTAAATTCTAGCTTCTCCTTGCACTGATGCGAGCACTGAAGAACTTGCGGTTGTTCAAGTTTATGTGGCAAATAATAAATGGAAGCTAAATGACCTTTGAAAAATTGTGACATTATGTGATTACGACCATGCCAACATGCTCCAATAACTAATCGAGTTTTCTGAAAAAAATATATATATGACTTTATTAACAGTTAAGTATATGATGAAAGATAAATTCCGATAGCAAAATAAAAAAAAGTGGAAAAAAAAATGAAACAAAAATTAGTGACAAACTTAAATATTAAAACATCTAACCGTTTCTTTGATACGATGTAATGGCCAATCATCCAATATTTCGGGATTCTCCTTTGTAGCAATAAATTTACGACCATCAATGTATAAATCAACCTAAATATTGACAGTTAAAATAAGAAAAGCAGAAAAAAATGATAACCTTAAAAAAAAGATGGTGAAGCAGAGAAGATGAATTTTTAATGAAATATTCTATGAAGAATGGTTAAAAGGAAATTATTTTATCTTTACTTCTCTTTCAGTGGTGCCTAACTGCTACATAAATAAATTAATTGTTAATCAGAATCAGTAATAATTAACCGTATCGACGGATGCAAACAGGATGGAATATGAATGCCAACGATTGTCGCAAACTTCCGGAATGCTCCACCGCCATTCGGCAGCACGGAATGCAGCTTCAGCATTACTTTCTCGACGCATCAACATTTCTAACTTACAGTGACGTGTATAAACAGCAAAATGGTGACGATTCATGTCTAAAATTAGATTACAATTATAAATACAATCAAGAAAAAAGTGCTATCAAATTCTTGAATTCCTCTACTCATACTAATATTTTACTAATAAATTATCCTAAATAACATAACAGCTTTTTTCCTTGAATTTTTTTTTCCTCTTTTTTTTAATTCATTGAACTTTATTTTAATCCATCTTATTAATAGCTGTAATGTAAAAGTTGAAAATCACTAACTTTTTTATGACTGATTGCATCTTACTTACTCAACAAAGTATTCATATTTTCTCGAAAGTATAAACAAAAATTTACTTGTATAATCGCTTTCGCATAAGATTGTTTGTTTAAGCGCTTGTTCTTCTATACTTCCACGAGCATGTTTCATCGAAAAGGTTAGCGTAAATTTCAACGGAATAACATCATCCACTTTTTCTTGTGATACAATCATAGAAGTTGACTTTCCATCAAAGGTGTATTTGTCATTTGTCACACTGTTATCGGTTGAGCTATCACTAGAAGCTGCTAACAGTGCAATTGTTGATTCATCCATTCCACATCTGCAAATGATAATATTCCGAGAATTATATCTCAGTAATTTGCAATAAACTTAAATTATTCAATCACAATCGAAAGTTAAACAAGGAGAAAAACGATCAGTCTGAATTCATTGAAGGTTGTTAGCACTTTTCTTTTTTAATCCAGAAATTCACTTACTTATTCTGAATTGCATTCGGAATAAATTCATCGCGATCGCATCCGTTTGTTAAATTTTCAGTTTGCAGTGTTAGAATACTTCTTACACTTTCCAAAGTACACGATTGCTCTTCCGCACAAGTGACGACATGTGCATTTGGCGCAATCTGAACACTTCCTGACCCAGGAATATACGTAACTTGTTCTGGGATACCGTGAATACCATCTACACAAGCTTCGTGAACATTGATAGTGACAAGAGTTGATTTGGATTGACGCATACCGCAATCGTGGGCGACAATTGTTAGAATGTAGGACTTGGCTTGGGTATAGTTAAGTGGTCGTGTATTTCGTAGAATACCCTGGTGAAAAAATAAAACATACAATGTGGGAAATTGTGATTTAGTTTTATTTCATTTATAATAAAATCGGTTGCAATGTATTAAATATATTGTTTTTTTAACTTGAATTCAATATTTGCGGATTTGGTAGTTTTCTTTGGGATAGGTGCAAGTGATAAGGTAGCATTAAACAGCAAATGATTTTAAATATTCCTAGAAATTCTAAGTAGTTTTTGCATCGACTGCATAATACTAGATATGGTCAAACAGTGGGACAAGTCAAGCCAACCTGATCATTGATATCAAAGGGAAAGCTAAGCCAACCTTATCATTGATATCAAAGGGAAAGCCAAGCCAACCTTATCATTGATATCAAAGGGAAAGCCAAGCCAACCTTATCATTGATATCAAAGGGAAAGCTAAGCCAACCTGATCAATGATATCAAAGGGAAAGCTAAGCCAACCTGATCATTGATATCAAAGGGAAAGCTAAGCCAACCTTATCATTGATATCAAAGGGAAAGCTAAGCCAACCTTATCATTGATATCAAAGGGAAAGCTAAGCCAACCTTATCATTGATATCAAAGGGAAAGCTAAGCCAAGCCAAGCCAACCTGATCATCGATAGCAAAAGGAAAGCCATCCAATGCATTTGTGATCTGATATCTGCATATCTGTCCATAAGGATGGCCACAATCTTTATCAGTTGCTTGCAATCGAGCTAATTCGCTGTAAATTTTTCCTGAAATGCGACTGCTTTAGAAACACTTGTATGTATTTAATGAATTTATTGGATTCGTTTAAAAAATTTGATACAATTGATCGACTATTAATGATTCAATTTATTTCAAAAATAATTCACGATATCTACGTAATCTCACCTTCACTGATATTAAAGGTGTACCACGGACGTGAGAATACTGGCACGTGATCATTGGTATCCTTTACGGTAATTCGTAACCGTGCACTGGAATGATATTTTTTAATTTCAAATCCCAGCCTTTTAAATCAAAATAAATTGATAGATTATCTTGTTTCTTTTAAAAGACATCATTTAAATTCTCAAATCTTAGAAAGTTTGAAGTAAATGCTAAACTGAAGATTGTTTCAACATGAATAACAATCAGTCAACCTGTCAACTTGTTTTACAAATTTTTCTAGTTTAATCATCTACCATTTTATTTGTGAATTTAGAAAATACAAACCTGTCTGTACAGTTAAATTAAAATATAAATTAAAATAAATTTGTATAATTAAATCAAAATAAATTTAATCAAACAAGCAAACAAAAACAAATCACTTACTAGATTATGTAAAAAAATTTTTTATTTTAATTGAGAAATCTGACAACAGTGGCAAAGTAGTAAGGATTAAAATATATTTTCTCTTCCTTTTTGTATTTACCTCTCACCAAAAAGAAAAAAAAAATAATACTTCAAGAAGTCCTTTATTTATTTGTGTCATTTAATTATAATTCCAAAACAAAAAAAAAGTGTTGTTAGCTGATATTTCTTTGTTTTTTTCCAGAGATTTATTTGTATTCTGTTAATAATGTTTTTATTGGGTAACCTAAAAGAAGAAAGTCCCACTAAAACTTTCAAAAAGAATTCTTTCCTAACTTTAGAGTACACTTTAATTTCCTAAGTGAAGAATTCTCTCTCATTAAATTTCAATTTTCTAATTAAAAAAAAAAAAAAAAGAAAAACTAATGAATGAATTATCTATTACATAAATGCTAAACAAATTTACTTAATTTGTCCTTCTGATATAGAATAAAAAACGGTTAGTATATTTTGTTACTATTACTATTACTATCACTATTAGTATATTTTATTACTTTACTATTACTATATTGAAAAATTTTACTATTAGTATATATTTTTATTACTATTAGTATATAATTTTATTATATATTACTTTACTATTTACTTTACTATTACTATATTGAAAAACAGAAAATGAAATGAATAATCAATATTATTGTTGATATTTTATGATTTAATTATTATTGATATTTTCTAATTTAATTCATTTGAAAATTGCTTCTCGAAAAACTAAAAAAAAATCAACCTTTCTGATCTGGCATCATCATCACAGCGAATTGCCACCACACTAAGAAGATACTGTGGATTACTACAGTCTAAATGTACGTCATCTTTTACTCGTACAATACCTGAACCTTCTTTTTCATCGCTTACGTCAACTATAAATGGCACATCATCGGAATTTTCACTTGTAAGTTCATATCGACATACCGGACCTTAAATTCATCAAACTGATTAAATTTTTATTCAATATAAATAAATTATTACACTGAAGTGCGTAATATTAGTATATGATTTAATAATTTGAAAAAGCTGAAACTTTTTTCATAAAAATTATATTTTGTTTAAATTATTCTCATTTACTCCTCGTTCAGTTATTTGACAGTGATTTCAAAATGGCAAACAATTCATTGTTATTGGAAATATGGAAAATATATTCCTTCAAGCATTGATTGAGTTAAAATCAAATGTCTTAATTAAATATCATACTAAAATAAATGATCAAAAGTTATGTTTTGTCAGTTTTTTTTTTAAGAAATTAGTATTTTGCTTTGATTTTAGCCATCTCAAGGCAAGTGCTTTGGATTATTTACTAGCAACACCTACTAAAATTTGATCAAACAAATGCTAAATGAATTTTAGTATAATTTAGAGTGAAAAAAAGAAAAAACCAAAACCTGAAAATTTAACATGAAATTCCGTTGTATTTCAAAAACTTTTCAAAAGATTCTTTTTTTTTTTTCATCCTTACCAGTTTCATGAACAATGTCTAATTTGGGAATAACACTGACTATGGTACGATCTTCTCGAATAGTACCAACCAATTCATCTGCACCGCCAAGATCGATTACTGGAGCTGAAAGAAATACTATTTGAAATTAAAACGGAAACGGAAGTGAATTATTTCTAATTTTTTTCTTTATCTTTTTCAACCTTGTACTGCACTATTTCAGCACTTTTTGAGATTACAATTCATTAATTTAATTTACTGCACAATTGCATCCAATTGCAGCAATATGTGAAATATTTATTTTTTCATTTATTTAATTGCATGTTGCATCTAACTCGAAAATTTGTGCAATAATTAATCATAAATAGTTCATAGTAAATTTATTTTCAGAGAAATTCGCTTCCTTCACTTTTCTTTTTTTTTTTTTTTTTTTGCTAAAAAGAAAAATTAAATATATCTAAGAACAAAAAAAAACTTTGTTTTCTTTTATTTCACTTACTTTAAGAACTCACTTGATAGTATCTACTGTACAAGTTTAGAATTGCAATAAGATCACTTACTTAAGTGTATGTCAATAAATTTATGAGTAAGTAAAAATTTACAGAAAATTTTTCCGTTGTTAAATTATTATTAAATAAGCTAATCTTAACGTAACAAACAACAGTCATTTCAATAAATAACTGTTTTTTGATTTTATAATTAATTACTTTAGTAAGCAATGAAATGACAATCTTTGTGATCTACAAGCATCATCAGTTTTGCAACTTTTTACATCTTTTTCAAGTGCATTTGATGAAAAAAAATTCAAAAAAAATTTCGCACTTCCTAAAATGAATTGGATTAAAAGTAAGACTACAAAAAAAAAAAAACACAGAATCAAGTAAACCGAATTTAATTTCAAATCATTTTAGGAAGTAATATTGCCTTCATAAGAAGTTGAAGATTTTAAATTTAGTTAAAGATGATGCATAATATTGAAATTAATTTAAAGGAAAACATTTTCGTTTTATTTTTATAAATGAAGAAAAGTTGAAAATGACTGATTTTCATGATTAGCTCGGAATTTTTTCAAAAGTTCAAACATTTTTAGAAAGACAAAAAAAAAAAAAGATTGAAATGATGAAAATGGATTTTAATGAATTTTATCTCAAATAAGTAAAAATAACTAGTTGGTTGCTCACCACGATGACGATGAGAAGATGTAGCAGAAGTAAGGATCGTCCCGAACAAAATTTGAAGTACCAATCGTATCACAGGACGGAATTCTTTTGATGGCATTGATGAAACAGCAGAGAATAGTCTTTGCTTGGTCAAAAAACTATTTCAATTTATAGTAGTTGTGAAATATTCAATGATTACAACGAACGATAAACATTTTATCATTGAATATTGTTTCATGAAATTTGCATCTTCTTAATATTTTTAGAAAGATGCAACTTCGTCTCAATATTGATATATTATCTTTTTTTTTTTTTTAAAAAAAAAAGGACATCTGCTTTTTAAAAGGAAGTATTGTCCAAAATTTATAAAGAAATTTTTCCAAAAAAAAAAGAAGACGATTTTTTTTTGTACGATTTCAAATGAATAATGCAAGAGAAAAAGTAATTCAATAGACAAACTGCCTTTAACTGATTGAAAATTTAATTCGTTTAAAATTTCAAATTAAATCAATTATATATATATGTTGCTCGAACGTCTGAAGTTAAATTGAAGAGTGGGAAAGAAGTTAGTTTTATTGAAATAGGATGTGAAGTTGTATTATATAAGAGAAATACATGCGAGAAAGTTTATTATCCCAAAATTGTACTTTACTAGCTAATACATTCAATTTAATATTTTGATAGAAGTTTAAGCAGTTGCGCTGAACCTAAAAGTGTACTTCAAATTATGTCTGAAAGATTTTTATATCTCAAAAAAAAAAAGGCTTACAAAGCGGATTTGTCCAATAATTGCAAGCTCGAAAAAAAAAAGAACAAAATTACTTCCAACCGATCATTATTCTATCCATCCATATTCATTCATCACATTTAACATTCGTAAAGGCAAAAGTGGAAATTGTCGCAGTTATACTTATTCAAAAGAAAGCTAAAATTTACGATTTTAGGAAGAAAAAATCGATATACCTTTTGAGAACCATTGCCGATGAAATTATTCATTAAAGATAATTGCAGGAAAAGAATCGTTTATAGTGAATAACATATTATACATGCACATAACATATTCAATTTGCAATGATATGTGGCGGAAATGTGCAACGACATTTCAATGCTGCTTTTCCTACAGGGAATATATGTATAACAGGTTATCACTTTAGTTACTGATTATCAATAAAAGCATTGAACTGGAATAAAATAATAAGAATTGATGGATGGGATAAGGAAGAGGGAAAAAGTACTGTTAACCGAAGCAATTTCAACCTCTCATACTTCAGAACTTGTCTTTCTTCTCAATTCAGCATTCCCCGAAATATATCTTAGATGACGGGAAAGGAAAGGAAAGGGAAGGGAAAAGACGTAATCAATTCAAAATGGTTGTAAAATCGATCGTTTAACCTGTCCGATCTAAGCAAATTCATTCTTCTGCTCCATTATTACACAAATCATTCGTGAAGTGTTTCATTCAGAATGCAATAATCATGCATTAACATGCATGCATGCATGCATGTCACTACGGACAATTGCACTTTTAATAACGATTTTAGTAATTAAAGCAAGAAAAGAAGCGAAAGTAAGTGCAACAAAGATAAATTGAATCTTTTTATAAAAAGTTGAAAAAAAAAAATGATACGATAGCAATATAAATTATTTTATAATGTGACAAGCATGAAATTTGCAAAAAAAATTTATCTTTCATTTACCAAACTTCTAATTTTTGAGATTCACAGTAAACCATTCGTTAGATTATTGGTGACACTTAAATAAGTATCACTTATTGTCATGGTGACCAATTCATATATGACTATAACAATTCATCGTCATTCAATGGAACTATAACTGATGACTATTTTAAATAATCACTCATGCACTATTTTTTTTGAATCATAGAGATCAAATAATAGTTTTATATCGATTTTATTTTTATTTTTTATTTTTTTTTTTTTGACAGAAATGTTATTTATTAATGGAATGATGATGAAAAAAATGACCGGAAATTTTGTATTAACCATTGATTAAAGGAAAAATGTAAGATAGGAGAGAACATTTTTTGATGAATGATTGAAAAAAAAAAATATGAACGGATTATCATCCAATGTTTCTCTCTGCTTTTCCTCCAATGTTAATGTAAATGCTCTTTTGTTGGTGCTGGAAGGGAAGGAGGAATGAAGGAAAAGCATCAATAGCTTTCGTTATTTAGCACATAACACAAACTCTTTGCATCATCCATGCTCTCGAAGAGTTATACTCTCGAAGAGTTATGGTCAGTCATCATTGCGCTTTCTAAACTAAAAATTTTAATTAGTAAATTTTTTAGCTCATTGCACTTCTTCATCGAAATGTTACGTAAAAAGAAATCACTTTTTATATTTTAGTTTAGAAAGCAAAAAATTTTCACTCTCTCTCTCTTTCTCTCTCTCTCTCTCTCTCTCTTTCTCGTTATAATTAATGCATTTGTGTGGTTGTTTTGAAGTTAATAAGAAATATAATTCTTTGGCTGAACAAAAAACGAATAAATGAAAATGGAACGAAATGACTAAATTAGCAGTGAGGACAAGACAGCTCTTAGCCGTTAATCAATTAAAGATTTTATTCTCGGTGATATTGACAAAGGTGTCCCATAAATGGTTAGCCAAACTAATCAGTAGTTTCTCTCCATGGAAATGAAAAGACATTCGGAATTTAGCGTATTGGAAAAGAAAGAGAGAATAAAAATAAAGGACAAATGAAATGATTGCATTCAATTGGCCAATGCAGTATGTGAGAATTTGAGCCAAGCTAATCGAACTAGTCCTGTTCAGCTACTATTTCCCAAGCATATTTCCTGCACTAGTCTGAACTATTTTGAAAATATGCGTAGCAATGATGCATTCCTCTGATCTTTTCGTTAAGTCTATCGATGAGAATAAGTTAGCACTTAATTTCAGATTGAAACAATTTCATTTCATAAAAAACTAACTATTAAGTTAATTGTATTAAATGAAAATTTAAACTAGACTAAAAATCTAACAATATTTTCATCTACAACAATTAGCGTAAAGTATAACCTAGCTAGCTTAAATTACATCGAATTTTATTTCATATCGAGCATCTTCCGAATGGCATACATTCCCATCGATTTGCCCTAATTTTCGCGCATTTCATTTTTTTTAGGTTGAATTAATTTCAATTTCAACGTATATTATCATTGTTTGAGGAAGTATTTGCAATCTTTAAACAAGCTTCAAAACATTAATAGCTTAGAATTTACTTTTTCCCTTGAAATATTTTACATTAAGACCTTTAACATTTTTCTTATCAGATTTCATGTAAAAAATTTAAATGAGAGATTTTGTAAGGCATCAAAATTATTTCTCTGATACAAATTAGATGAATAACTAGTAAGAATTACCAAAATGTTAGTCAAGAAGGCAACATTGAAATGGAAATTAATTAAATTATAACTATTAAATAGTCACTTACAAGGGGAGCTGAGCTATATTAATCATATCTTTACCTTTCTACCTGTGTGCATGCGAAATTATAAGGCCATCGCGAAATTGAATTCCCAAAGGAAATGGCAAGAAATTTGTATAGCATGAAATAAATATAATTTAAATAATAAAAAATTATGGCTAGCGGGCGAAAGTGAGTATGCGCATTTATGTTTGCCACAAGTATGTCTTTCAGTTTTATGGAGAAGAAGAGGAAGAGTGTGTGATGACAAACGAGGACATCTATCTTGCATCAAATTGAAAAGTGTTAGGACATGTATGTCTGCCTAGCTTAACGTGTGTCGTCTATTTGCGTTAAGGGTAAAATGAAAGAGCGAAAGGGCAAAGCGTATAAGATGTGACTTTCGACAAGAGGCTAAATTTGTCAGAGAGGTTTAGCCTATTGCGGTGTAAGTTAAGATTGGCTTTCATTATTGCTTCAGATCAGATTCAAAAACTATTGCCACATGAAGCTAGCAACGGAAGCATGCTTGGCCTAGGGGCTCCTGCATACATATGAGAATTTTATAGCAAAGCAATTTAAGGCCTACACCCATTTCTTGCATTTATTGATTCGCAACAAAAATCAATGCGTAGTGCAGGCCAGATGGATGACACTTCAGCTAACTCATCTTTGAAAATTACGTTAGGGACAGATAAGCAACTGAGCTCTTATCACATGCATCACAGATATTTAAAAGCATGCAATTGAGTGCTAAAGTAGAACGAAGGCGCAGATGTGCAACACGTGCAAATTACAGGGAGACTGATGGAATAATGAAAACTTTAAAATGGTTCTTTTATATATTTGGGAAGGTTTGAAATGGATGAAATGAGAAGTAGAGAAGAAAAGGAGAACTATTAGTAGTGTAGGTTAATTGAGGCCTATGGCAAAGCATCAGGCCAGCCATCTTGGCACAGTTGAGGCGATAACAAGGGAAATCTAGGGCCAGAAAATTAATGGACTTCGAGAATGGAAATGAAAAATGTGTATGGGCCTAGCATTTTAGAGAATGACATGAAGCAGAGCTAGCAAATAGAGAAGGCAAAACAGGAAAAGGCCAAAAAAAAAAAAGATTTCCAGGTGAAAAATTATAAATTTTAAATGCCATTGATATTAGCTATCGATTTTCTGATCTGTTCATATCAATTTTAACATGGAATCACTATAAAATGGTTAAAATTTATTTACAACTAGGATGAATTTTTAGACCAAATAAAGGAATTAGCCATCTCTTAGTGTAAATATAAATAAATAATATAAATAAAAAAAGTTTTGTAATAAAATAAACAGCATAATGTTGAGTTGTAGCCAATGCCACTTATGCAACTAATTACCGAAAGAGAATATTTTTTAGATTTCCATGTGAATGAAGTATTCCTAAAGTTAGCTTGTAAATAAGTGAAGCTTGTAAGTAAAGGTACTATATAAAGTATGAACTAATGGTTAACTTCCGATTCTACTAAAAAGAACTTAGAAAATTTCTCATAAGTCCATTAGTCTTCCCTTTTTCTTTTTTTTTGGGTAAGTTTTTTTTTTTTTTTTAGTTTAAAAGTTTAAGCTTATGCAGATAAGCAAAGTTCTTTATAAAAATTAAAAAGATTCAGAGTACGAAAAGAGATTCAAAAAAAAAAGCTCGGATGACCAGAA